ACAATTTTCATTCTATAAGTAAGGCCACACCAATTTAATCTCTTGGTTAACGAATTCGCCCGCTTCATTTTTTTCTGATTTGCAAATAAAAATAAAAATTCAGAATCAACTGCAAAATGCTCATATTTTGCCCTGAACAGTTGAAAACAGTCCTTTTCTTCCTAGCTGTCACAGACATTCCATCTTTCAATGTAATGGTATTATTAAAAGTTAAAAATCCATTGTTTAAATTTTGAACCAGCCTGGTGTGTTGACTTCATGGCTCCTATCGTACCATTTTGGGCCATAATAGGATGCCTAGGCCTGTTTTTATTTTTTTCGCCCGCCCGCTTTGTAGAAAAATCCGTTAACCAAGAAATTAAATTGGTGTGGCCTTACAGCAGGTCTAAAACTCCCTAAATTGCAAAGACTTTGCACACACAAATTACAACTACGCGAAAAAAAAAGTTTTTCAAGCGCTGACGCAGTATGCACGCCCCCTCGGCAGACGGAATGGGAGTCAGAGATACCAAGAAATTGATGGAGCACTTCGGAAATCTTTCCAACTCCGCCGGACACCCTTTGACTGATCCTCTCCCGGCTCTGGTGCAGCTCAGGTTGGTTATTGATGGTCCGGGACTCCAGAAATCCTAGCCTGGTATCCAGTCTTATGTGATTGGGAGTGTTGGGGTGTTCGGGCAGCTTGTGCCTTTGGGGGCTCTAAGAGCTTCCCCCGCCCAGTGCAACAGACCGCCCCGGTAGGAGAGTTACGCTAATAAGAGACAGTATGCTTGGGGATTTGGTTTCCCCCAACATGATGTTTGTGGAGGGCTAATCAATCTCTCATGAAATACACACCGGAAAACCTATGTGAGGCGGACGGGACAGAGCTCTTGCGGCCCCGACCACGATCAGACTGGATACCAGGCTACAGAAATCCAACCGTGTCCTGCACTTGTGTCTGGCAGCGCGGGGAAGGAAGGAATTTGTATCCCGACGCAGGCATGACACGAGCCTCCCATATGTCAGCTGGAACGTTGGGCTGTCGGTTTCATGTTTCCCGCTACTCTGTCTGTATTCCCATGCTAACGAGGTGGATCCCCCCGCGCTCCTTCTGGTAGTGCGAGCTCATAAAAGAGCCTTCCCGCGTCAAGTGACGCATAGGGTGGCGCCCATCTCCGTTTTATAGCCCTGGGCCACACACAGTAATCACTACAGCAGGGGGCTAGCCCACTGGTAGTGGTGTGTGTTTAACTCCCATACTCTTTCTCAAATGCTAAGTGCTAAGCAGAGAAAGCAGTATGTACGATTTTTAAAGTCTTTGGTATGACTTGGCCGGGGATCAAACTCACGACCTACCGAATGCAAGGCGAGCACTCTACCCACTTGGCCATTGCACCGGTGTTACTAGCTCGTTACTAGATTATATCTCATCGGAAGTGTTGGAGGTACAGCATGCTTGTTGAAGTGTGGAATTTGCATTTCGGGGCTTGAAATGCCTTTTTCTGCACCCCTGCACAACATTCAAGATTACTTGCACAAGTATTGCCTGCGCAGTGTTTTGAAAATTGTTGCTAGTAACATTATTCTGCTAAGTTCTTTGCTGTCTTCGGTGATGCTTCTTTGAAGAACGCAAGACAGTTTTTGACCAGTGCTGTTGTCTGGAGCAGGTTTTGTCATGGACCAGTGCAGGTTATCTGCAGAAATACCTGCACAGCTCCAATTTTACCTGTAGTTAGGCCAGACCGTCTTAATTTTATGGATGACATCTGCATTGATTTTCGTCTGTTCTCAAAAAAAAAAAAAAAGATCAGGCCCACCGAGGCTCTGGCCTGGCTTATGCTTGGGTAGTCTATGCTAGTTAGAGACAATACGGAGCCGAGCACCCAGGATACCGAAGCTCCAAGACTCAAGAACTCAGTAAATACGTACAGTGACGATTCATGAATTCCACAAAAAGCCAGCATGTGCCGGCTTGTCGTATACGTACTTCCCAAATTCACAATACCAGCTTTGTATTCCTGTGGTTTAGTAGCATTTTTATTTTTGGCTGGAATTTTTTTTTATTCGCCCGCGCGCACTAGTTTGGGGGTCTTCAGGGGATGTCATCCATAAAATTAAGTCAGTGTGGCCTTTAATTATTTTAACCTGTACGTGCAGGCGGTGCATGTATTTTGAGCCCTGCATTTTGTATGTTAATTTTCAAACCAGGGAGCCATGGCATGTGAGAAATGGTGGATGTCTCTGTATAGAAGCTGTAAGCTGATAAATGTTACAGCAGTGCCGAATCTGGGTCTGACTTCACCATTCGCTAAGCACGGCGTTACCGATCGCGCTCTCGGGAACCCCCGTCATCCATTCTGCCCGTTTGAGCGCTCGCCAAGGCGAAAATGACGCGGAAGAATGGAGGGGGGAACACATCTGCAGTAAATTGGTGATTTTCGTGCCGGTTTGGAGCCCAATCATCCGGCTGTTATTACCTGTTAGCTACATCCGCGTTTATGTCCTCCTTATGTAGTCAGACAATTTTCTGTCTCTAGTATTTAGTTATGTCACATGTGTGTGCATCACTCTTAGATGCAGAATACAGTTTCCACAATCATATCCAGTTGCTTGAAGAACTGTTTTTTGGCGTATCATGTTATCTGGATGTCTAACCTTCACTGACATAACATTACGTAACAGTACATTATCATCAGTATGTGCATCACAACCATCCCTGTCCTTGGTGCTGAACTGATTCACTGGCTGTTATGTCTTGCCTGCCTGAAGTGGTTTATATCATATCTATGTGCATCGCTCTGAAGTACAGAACACAGTACATCATTATCTTCATTATGTATATCATAGACATCCCTGTCCTTGGTGCTGAACTGATTCGCTGGCTGTTATTATGTCTTGTCCTCCCAAAGTGTTTTATATCACATGAAAATCACTCAGTGAGATACAGAACACAGTTGAGTACATCATCGTCATCATTATGTTCATCACAACCAGCCCTGTTCTTGGTGCTGAACTGATTCGCTGGCTGTTATTATGTCTTGTCCTCCCAAAGTGTTTTATATCACATTTAGCATCACTCTGAGATACAGAACACAGTACATCATTATCTTCATTATATACATCACAACCAGCCCTGTCCTTGGTGCTGAACTGATTCGCTGGCTGTTATGAACACTGTCACACCACCTTAACAGTTATGGTACAGGAAAACAAGGAGAACCACTGTTAAGGCCACACCAATTTAATTTCTTGGTTAATGGATTTTTCTAGAAAAATAATGGAGCGGGCGGGTGAAAAAAAATAAAAAATAAAAACCGGCCTAGGCATCCTATTATGGCCCAAAATGGTACGATAGGAGCCATGAAGTCAACACACCAAGCTGGTTCAAAATTTAAAATAATGAATTTTGAACTTTTAATGATACCAATGCATTGGAAGACGGAATAACTGTAACAATTAGGATGAAAAGGACTGTTTTCAACTGTTCAGGGCAAAATATGAGCATTTTGCAGTTGATTCTGAATTTTTATTTTTATTTGCAAATCAGAAAAAAATGAAGCGGGCAAATCTGTTAACCAAGAAATTAAATTGGTGTGGCCTAAAGAAGAAATAATGTTGAGATACTGCTAAGGACTCCACTATAGTGACTTATTACTGTCTATTAGTAACAGGACTGCACTCAATCAGAGGACAGTGCTTTTATGTATGTAGAATAATGTTATTACTCCGTGAAGGAGGTCAGGACCTCCGGACGGAGTGTTGTAATCGGCTGATTTTTTATGTTCGCAGTCAAAACACTGGGTTCTCTTTGTGTAATCGGCACGCAATTTTATACGCCGTCTGCGGGCATGCCCGTGTTGATGCACGAATGTGTATTTTTGCCGTTGCTGCTTTCGCGGTCAATGTAATATCGCAGACGCACCCCTACAATTACGAGGCGAATTGGAATGGTCCAGAAAAACGCGTTGTTTGGAATAGCAGTGGGGTTCAAAAAAGTTCATGCAGATACGGGGTGGTTTTTATAAGTGGTTCCAGATGTTTTTGCCCATGGTTAAGAGATGCCAAGTTTTTTGGAAGATGTTCGCAGCCAAAACGCATTCTTCCGTACGTCGCATTTCTGTGTAATTTCGCATGTGGTGTTGCATTATGTCCGGGATGATGCACGTCTTTTTATTTTTACCGTAGCTGTTTTGATATTGGAGTAAATGCTTATTTTCGAAACATCCCCATTTCTTTGAAATGGTTTCGTCCGTTTATGCAACTGTTACTGCGCTAATGACGACCAGTCGCGCTGTCCTGATACACCGCGAATGTGCGAGTGTTCCCTGTAGACAGTCCCGGGAGTCATTTTTTTGCACATTCCAGGAGCCAAACCAAAATACGTTCATGAACCGAGTCCAAAAAACCGAAACGTGAAAATCGGATGATCGGACCTGATGTACATTTCTCTTTCTATAGATTGTACACACAATACACACATCTTTAGATAATCTGGCCATGGACAGGTTAAAAAAAAAGTAACCCTGAATCATACTAGATTAGCGTAAATGCATGTTAATGCGTTCAAAACAAGAAAAAAATTGTTTCCGGGTATTAATCTCTTGAATCACGGCGCTGAATATTGACGCAAAAATATTTCGGGCATCGCGCGCCCTTCCCGCGTCACGTGTAGGCATCTCGCATCTCTGATTGGTTGTTGCGTCTTAAGATGACTGAGCCGACGCGCGTTTAAACAATTTTTCTTTGTTCGATTTATCACACTTCACAGAGAATTGTCGCCAATGGCTACTTCTTTTTGTTGCAATATATAATACTTCACGGAGAATTGTCGCCTATGGCTTCTTGTTGACTGTTATGTTTGTTGTCCATTTCCATTGTAATATCTTATCTCATCAGCAGGGCTGGCCCTTTGCAATAGTCAAAGGCTAGTTAGGCTGCCTTGGCTGTGTATGCTGAACAACCAAACCAATAAATAAAATAAAAAAATAACCACAACCATGCCTCTATGTTGATTTCAGGCCAACGACCCATTCTGGGATCCAGTGGAGGATGTCTTCCTAGGAAGGTAAGTTTATTTATTTTATTTATTTCATTTTCACACACCTGGGTAGCCCAACTCAGCTTTGACAAGTGGGGCCCAGTTTACAGAAATAATAAAACATAAGTTAATACTTAAACAGAAGTAACAGAGAATTGTATGTAAAACATATATAACTCAGGTAACCAAATTATACAAAATAGATGCAAAATAGTTGAGAGAATTTCATTCATTCTTATATATTGGAGGATAGCAACTACTTATTCATACAATGTGTATCTTACATGAGGTGTGGTGTTTTGGTTATCCATGTATCAACCTAAACAACATGATTATTCCAATTCCTTAGGCCAGACCAAGTAATTTTTCACCCGTGCTTCTTGTAAGTAGTGGGATAGTGGGAGGTGGGATAAGGGAAGATGTGGTTAGAAGCAGGACAGGACGTCACTGCTGTTCCACTGGTTTATTGCTGTTTTCATGATGAATAAAAGACTTGTTGGTTGTTCTCTCATTCAGTTTGTGTCCTAACATTTGTCATTCCTTAGTGTATTTCAAATCTAGGCATCTTTTTTTTTTTTTGCCCTTGTTGGTTTTTTTTTTGCTTTCGCATTAGATTTAGGGTCTCCAGAGGACGTTATCCATTACTTGGTGTGGCCTTACCATGTGCTCACTTGAACTCTTGGTTTACACTTTGGATGAAAATTGTTGCTGCATGGTTCTAGAAAAATTTAGCACGAGGGAGTAGATGGCATTAGCATGGCAAGGGAGCGAAGCAAACGAGGGGGAATATTTTTTATGAGAGTAAAGCAGTTTGTAATGCTAGAATGCAATGTTGTATAATATTTTTACATCTTTACTGGTAAAAGATCATTGTGAGAAAGACTAAACGTTGTGTATGTAGACACTTAGGGTTCAATCTGAAAATTGATATGAGGGAGCTGGCTGGTTACATGAGGGAGTAGCACCCCTTATTCCTCTGTTTAGAAAAAACCCTGCTGCATTCTCCATTCAAATCGCGGGCAGCCGAAGTGAAGTGCCCCGGGTTAACACACACCGCTGTGCATCGCTAAGGCCACACCAATTTAATTTGTTGCTTTTCGGATTGCCCTGTCCATTTTTTTTTGATTTGCAAAAAAAAAAAAAAAAATTGGTTCTAAATTAACTGCATGAAAGACATACATGTACCTTGGCTCCAATGGTTGAAGGTACAAGTCATTTTCTTCTTAGTTCTTAAGTTTTTCAATGTTTTCTTCTTAGTTCTTAAGTTTTTCAATGTAACAATGCAGTTTTGTTTCATTAAAAGTTCAAAATCTATTGTTTTGACTATAAACCAGCCTGGTATGTTCACTTCATGGCTCATATTGTAACATTTCCGGCTATCATAGGATGCCTTGGCCTGTTTTTTTTTTCCTGTCACTCCTGATTTTTTGTGAAAAAATCTGAGAAACAACAAATTAAATTGGCATGGCCTAATGATGAAAGCGTGTACAAATGGAGGCCATTAAGCTCCTACCAGAGTGCTTGGGCCTCAGATTTGTATTACTTAGCCCTGTAATGGGATTTTATGCCTCGCATCAATCCCGACACCTTCAACAGGTTGATTAATTCTGTTCTTATTAAAGGCATTCAGTGCAGTTTTTAGGGCTTGGAAACCCAATTTTTCAAAGCCAATATTTTAGTCATTTATCTTACTACATACTGAGTTGAAACAACACTATCCCAGTGTATATTGACCCTCATGGAGCAAAAATTCTGACAGAAAATGGTCACTGGAAGGCCCATGGGTTGATTTTTTTAGGGTACCACCCAGAAAATAAAGGACTCAGGGCTTGTTTCTGCAGCCCAAAGTACGAAAATGCTGACTCAAATGTGCCAATATCACAAAGATTGCCTTATTTAGAACACTTTCCAATTTTGCAAGGCGCAGTATGTTAGCCTTTTATTAATGAAGATTTACCACATTTGTGGAAGGATTGACATAACAGGTGACTCTTCAAAGATGTCAAACCTCAGACCAGACTGTAAGGTTTGAACCACTCACACCGGGAAGGTCCCCTACTCATTTCGATAAGTGTGGTGGGTTCTTTAACGTGCGTGGGGTGTGGCTCTCCCAAACATGGGACCCCTATTTAACGTTCTATCCGAGGGACATCCCTAACCGAAGCTAGGTACTAATTTTCATTGATGTCTGTCACCATGGTAACTGGTGTTGGGTTACATAATGTTGCAAGTGCCATGCAGAAGTTCAAGAGGGTCTGCATGGTCACCATATATCTGAGTGTGTTTGAATAAGAATAAACAAAGCAGTAGTTTGTTGAGCTTGACCATGTGAAGGTAAACATGATGCATTTGCTTTGCAAATGTTACCTATCTAGTTTCTTTCTTTCTAGTTAATGCATTACTTTTGTTGCACCTCCCGCAGTGCCCACGTCTGGCTGCAGAGCCTTGCCTACCGCATCCAGGTAGATGAGCAGATCGAAGTGCACAACTACCAGGGGAAGGAGGAGGCCATGGTGCAGGTGGTCATCTCACCCGCCGACGCCCAGGGCAGGTCAGAGCCTTGTTTGTTTGTTTGTTCCGCATAACCGGTAAGCCACCTTTTAACTTTAGGCCACAGCAAGTAAATTTTATGGATGACATCCTCCGCAGTCTCCAAATCTAATGCGAGCGGGCGAAGAAAAAAAACAAGATGGGCCGAAAAAACAAGGTACCTACATTTTAAATTTTTGACTCAATCATTGTACAAATGGTTTGATTCAGTGGAAACATCATATACACAGCCAGCATCACATACATGTATCACTGCATCAAAGTAAGAAACAAAACATTAAATCAGAGCCTTTTCTTGCATGTTGACCACTGTCAGAAGGCAACAAAAGTTCTTGTTTTTTTTCCCAAAATCAGGCGAAAATTAATGCGCGTGCTGATGTCATCCATAAAAATTACTCGCTGTGGCCTTAGGTGTAACACACCAGTTTTGTCCATGTAAGTACAAGCTGCGTAAGACCAGACTTTACATTATGTAGCAAGTGGCAGGACAGAGTTGGAGGGGCTGCTCACCCTGGTGCAAGTGGTTATCTCTTCCGCTAACGCACAGGGCAGGTTAGAGCCTTGTTTGTTTGTTTCGCATAACCAGTAAACATTATGTAGCAAGTGGCAGGACAGAGTTGGAGGGGCTGGTCACCATGGTATCTCTTCCGCCAACGTACAGGGAAGGTCAGAGCCTTTGTTTGTTTGTTTGTTTCACATAACCGGTAAGCCACCTTTTAACTTTAGGCGTAACACACCAGTTTTGTCCATGTAAGTACAAGCTACATAAGACCAGACTGTACATTATGTGGCCAGTGGCAGGACAGAGTTGGAGGGGCTGGTCACCCTGGTGCAAGTGGTTATCTCTTCCGCCAAAGCACAGGGCAGATCATAGCCTTTGTTTGTTTGTTTATTTCTTTTGCATAACTGGTAAACTGTGCATGCCTTTAGGCATGACACACCAGTTTTGTACATGTAAATACAAGCTACGTAAGACCAGACTGTAAGGTTTGAACCACTCACACCGGGAAGGACCCCTGATTTTTTTCGATAAGTTCGGTGGGTTCTGAAACGTGTGTAGGCTGTTTTTTTTATTTTATTTTATTTTATGACGATTTACCACATTTGTGGAAGGATTGACATAACAGGTGACTATCACCTCTTCAAAGATGTCAACCCCGAGACTAGACTGTAAGGCTTGAACCACTCACACCGGGAAGGTCCCCTACTCTTTTCGATAAGTGCGGTGGGTTCTTTAACGTGCGTGGGGTGTGGCTCTCCCAGACACGGGACCTCCATTTAACGTCCTATCCGAGGGACGTCCCAAGCCGAAGCTAGGTACTCATTTACACCTGAGTGAAGTGAGGAAAGTCGTGTAAAGTGCCTTTCCCATGGGCACAAGGTCGGTGACATGGGCAGGATTGGAACCCACGACCTCTCGGGTGTGAGCCAAACGCGCTACCGACTGCGCCACACGACCACACAGCTGTGACTGATCATCGCCCAACCTTGCACTTTTAGGACTCTCCACCAGAGGGCCACCTTACTGTACATACCGGCAGCATGTCAGGAATGTCTCTTGTGTGCGCTACAGACAGAGGAGAGAATTGATTGGGTGGAGTTGCCCTGCTGAATCAGGTCTGTTGATCCCTTCCCGCGGAGGTGCAGGGATTGATTCCCGATACCCACGCAGATTGCTTTGAGATTAGCAGGGCTCGAAATTAAAGGTGTCCTGATGGTCAGTGCAATAGCTCAGTTGGTAGAGTGCTCGCCGGGAGGTCGTGAGTTCTATCCCCGGCAGGGTCATAGCAAAGACTTTAAAAATGGTACATACTTCTTTCCCTGCTTAGCACTCAGCACATATGAGAAAGAGTGTGGGAAGGCCAAACAAACAGCACTACCAGCAGACTAGCCCCCTGCTGTTTAAAAGATCATTAACGTTAAAAGCAATAAAACATTATACAAGAATATTAAAATCTGCGCACAGTAACAACGACAACGTAGACACAGAGTTTTGCAGGCATTACATCATTGACAGAGCTCTAGGGATACATGAGTTCTTGTGTCTGTTAGACTTGCTAACAGGTGGTTTCAGTCCCAAACGGCGGCGAAGGTCTCCCATTCAGGGCCCGCCGTGACGGATGCGTGTCATTCCGCCGGCTGATGGCACGCCAATTCTACCTCGCCAGGTTCACAAATGTTCCGCTCTCGCACTTCATCAAAACTAATGGAAAATAATGGTGGACGTGTCGGAGGCTGAGTTCCGTGGCGGGTGACATGCCCGTAGCCAGGATTTTGGTTGGGGGATTCTTCCTACTGTCCAAGGCTTTGTAGGGGGTCCGGGGGCATGCTCCCCCAGAAAATTTTGAAAATTGAATCTTCTGAAATCGCATTGCCTGTGTTTTTGAGCGGATTTCAAAGAAGATAGGATTCCAGTCAGGGCCCGTTTTTCTGTCGATTGAAGGAACTTCGTATGAGTTGTGACGGAAATATAATCTGTCAACCTTGACGGACCAAATTTACAAAAATCTTGGGTAAAAATATGAAAACATTCAATGGCATCAACCACTCCATGATTTGCCTCTAAATATGTTGAAAATTACATTTTCAAAGGCTTGAAAATACTAATTTTGTCCCCAGACCCCCCTAGATTGGGAGCAATCTTCCCCCAGGTCTGAATATAGACCTGGGCTGATGGAAAAAGATTTTGAGTTGGCTAGAGCCCAGGGGGAGGAGATTTCTCTGTCCTGGGCAGGGATGCGTGGCAGTGTCCTGAGCATCTCAGGACATTTCCAGAAGGATCGAGTGTAACACCACAGGTGACAAGAGAGGTCAGGGTGTAACAGGAGAGCACGAAGGGTCGCGGGCGAGGTCACAACATTATCACGTGTGTGAAGTTCGCCTTTCTACCTGGTAACGTGTAGCAGTTGGAGGAGGAGGGGGGGGTGACAATCTGTGCTGCAGGAAATAACCACAGGCCAAACCATCATTATCTCAAAACCCACACGGCGGAGCGCACTCATTGTACTGAAAATTGGAGGCATTGATTTCTGTTGGACGCCAGAACTGGTGGATAATTAAAATTGTAAAATCAAAGGCCAGGGTCTCCATTAGCGCGGACCCTATTGTGGAAAGGATGGGTCAGCTGCCAAGAGAGTAGATTGGGACTTTTGAAAAGGGAAGCGGCGAGAATTGTTCTGTCTGTCTGAGGAGGTTGGTGTGACTGATGGAGCTGGGATTATAGAATTTGTTCAAGAGGGTCAATCAATGGGACATTCATCAGACAGGCTGGGAGGAGACTTTAGCTGTCTGCACGTCAGACAGATTTTTTTAAATTTTATTCACAATGGATTTTTGAGCATTGGATAGGAAGCACTTGTTGTGCTTATGTAAATCCGCTGCTCATAAAACATAATACAAATGTAAACATAAAGATGACATAAAGTATAGCATTAACATAAAATGAAAGTGGCTGGCGCACCAATACCTAGCATAACATTATTGAGATTGGTCAAATCTTTGTGGTGGATATAGTTAAACATAATATCAAAGATACGTCAGACAGATGTGAGCCTCGGCAAACCAACAGTACTGACAATTTACTGTTATTAGGAACTGGCATCATCTACTAAAACATTCACTGAAAACATTTACTGAATATTCACACTTTATGTAAATTCCAAGTAAATAATCAGTAATTGAGTCATGAAGAAACAGTAAATGCCCAGTTAACATTTACTGGTGAAACAGTATATGTATACAGGTGACACCATACAGTTACTGTAAATATTTACTTTGAGTAAATGAGTACTGACACAACAGTAAATGATTGTCTTGACAGTAGATTCCTACATACATGTACATAGCAGTAAATAACTACTGTCTTTACAGTGTGTAAATGAGTACCTAGCTTCGGCTAGGGACGTCCCTTGGATAGGACGTTAAATTGAGGTCCCGTGTTTGGGAGAGCCACACCCCACGCACGTTAAAAGAACCCACTGCACTTATCGAAAAGAGTAGGGGACCTTCCCAGTGTGAGTGGTTCAAACCTTACAGTCTGGTCTCGGGGTTGACATCTTTGAAGAGGTGATAGTCACCTGTTATGTCAATCCTTTCACAAACGTGGTAAATCGTCATAAATAAATAAATAAATAAAGTAACAAAACAGTAAAAGATGTTGAGTTAGAACCAGCGGGAACTCAGGCGCGCCGGGACTATCATCGCTACATGGAACAGGCCATAGCTGATGAGCATTGAGTTAGTGCCACAGTGCGCCCGTGACAGATCCGGGGGTATTAACTGGTACAGGCACTAATAGAGTACGATCCATGGTCCGGCCCTTGTTTGTGCCTGGCCGGCCGTGTCCATTGATACCTCATTCGGCCGCTACAGGACGTGAAATTACCAGCTGTGTCCATTCTGCTGGCTTCAGCAATAAAGCCCATACAACCTGTCATGTCTGATCAGGGTTAAGGATGTTAAGCTGCGCAGGGGCGCTGAGGGTTGACCTGAGGTAGCGGCGCTGTCCCCGGTGAGCTTACCGTCCTCCTGATGCGCAGATTAACGGAATGACTTGACAGAATCGCTGTCCTACATGCGATTTTATGGGTCTGTACCTCCCGATGTTCAGATTAGGCCACACCAGGTAATTTTCATGGGTGACGTCCTCTGGAGGCCCTCAATCTAATGCGAGAGTGCAAAAAAAACCAAGAAGGGCCGAAAAAAGCAAAACATGCCTAGATCTGAAATATACTAAGGGACTACAAATGTTAGGACACAGATAACATGAGAAAACAGTGTAACAACCAACAAGTCTTTTATTCGTCATAAAAACAGCAATAAATCAGTGGAACAGCAGTTGTCGTCCTGTTCTGTTTCTTCCCTTTAATCACACCTTCCCTTATCTCACTGTTTTGACTCTTTATTCCTTAAGTTACAAGGAGCTGAATTTGTTGTTGTTGTTTTTTCTGGGAAAAGGCCAAAGTTAATGCGTGCGTGGGCATCATCCATAAATGTTACTTGGTGTGGCCTGAAGGGAACAGAATCGCTGTCCTACATGCAGTTTTATGGGTCTGTACCTGTCTCTACTCCAGCCTGATTAGGTATCCCACAACCCCCTGGGTACAGTTAGACCCTAATGCCGGCGGTTATTCTGCCATATTGCAGCCCATCAGCCATAATTTATACAACAAACATCAAACACAATCATCATAAAGAGACCGCAAAGGGTTTGCCCCTGATATCTACGACATTTAGATGAAGACCTGTAGTTGATTTAATATGTCATTGGTCGGGTTTGTGATAATTTTCCTGCGTCATTTCTGATTCTTGAAGAAAGTTAAACATCACTGGAAGGAGTTAATTAAGATCTTGGACGCAGAACGGGATTACTTTGCGAGAGGGGGTGAAAGAAGCCATCTACATCAGAGCAATGCCAACCTACGCTCCGTGCTCAACCGTGACGGGGGGCGGTACTGACTTCCGACGAACTTTGACCCAGTGCTGACGTCACACGTGGCTAAAAGTCACGTGTCCACACCACTTGGGTCATAAGGCCACACCAATTTAACTTGTTGGTTCTCGGATTCGCGTCTTCATTTTTTTCTGATTTGCAAAAAAAAAAAAAAGATTCTGGTTCTAAATCAGCTATTTTGCCTCCAACACTTGAGGAAAGACCTTTTCTTCCTAGTTGTTACAGTTTTTCCATCTATCAACGCAGTGGTTTGATTAAAAGTTCAAAATTCATTGTTTGAATATCAACCCAGCCTTTTGTGTTGACTTCATGGCTCCTATCGTTGCATTTAGGGCTATAATAGGATGCCTAGAACTGTTTTTATTTTCAATTTTTTTTGCCCTGTCGCTTCATATTTTTCCTGAAAAAAATCCAAGAACCAACAAATTGGTGTGACCGGAAGTCTAAAAAAAAAAAAGAAAGAAAGATAATCCCTACCTACCGACCCAAATTTTTTTCAGGACTGAAACAGGAAACAACTTTTTTTTCATAGGCCTGACTAGGAAGAAAGCCGAACTTCACACGTGATAACGTCGTGACCTTGCCCACGACCTTTCGTGCCCTCCTCTTACACCCTGACCTCTGTTGTCACCTCTCCTGTTCCGCTCGATCCTTCTCAGGATCCAAACTTTTTTTCTTCACACCTGCACTGGAGCAGGTGATGTTGGAAATTACCTTCACCAGACAAGTTTTACCTGCACCACTCAGAATTTGGGAAGTGTGGATCATACTAGAACTGTTCAGAAACTGCTGCAGCTATTATTTCTTTTACAGTTCACACACAGGTGATGACAGTCAGTACAGCTGAGAAAACACACACAACTACATTTGTATAGTTAGTTAGACGTGATTGCACACTGATGCTGAGGCTTGATGGCAGCCCGCCACTTGCCTCTGTCCTGTGGGTTGATGTTATATGTAGGTTAAGGTGGAGGAAGTCCTCCCTTATGTTGTCCATCCATCTCTTCCTTTTACGCATCCAATGTATTTCTTGTATGTTGAGTGTTGTGCATGTGAAACCTTGCAGATGTAGTGAGTATTCTTACAACATCCAATGTTTTTCATGTATTTGACTGTTGTGCACCTGAAAACTTGTGTGTTAAGTGTGCAGTTAATCTTGTAGTTTTTCTTGTAGTAAAATGTTAACCTTTATTTCAACACAAGATTACACAGAGATGAAATTTTCAGCGACCACTGTCGCCTTCATCAGGATAGTTAATGACCAATCACTTCAAAACGGAATCTTGCGAGAGTTACGGTTACAGATACATGATCTTATTCACGCGAGACTTAATGGATATGTGACGTCAGCAATTGATAGTCATGTATATCCTTGCAGCATCCATGTTTTTCTTGTTTTTCATGTTTTTCTTGACTGTTACACAGTATTGTGTATTTTGACTGTTGTGTTTGTGTGAAACTTTGCATACAGCTTCCCGACAAAGAAGCGATGGTGGATTGTCATAAAACTTGGTAGGCGGGTGGTAGGCCCCCTAGTGGCTAGTTATGGTAGTGCAACGAAACTTCCAGTTTTGATATCTTGTATTCTGACTGTCGTATGTTTGAAACCCTGCAGACAGCTTCCCGACGCAGAAGCGATGGTGATTGACCCCTCGGAGCTTCTGGGGAAGAGGTTAGACTTCATCATCAGCATCCCGCAATGCCTGGGGATGAAGTGGATACAGGAGGAGAAGTCTAGAGGGTCCATGTTTAGGTACGTTCACGTTCACTCACTCACTCATTCACATGTACTCGCCCACTCGCTCACTCAATCATTCACTCACACTCAGACACTCAGTCACACACTCACACACACGCTCACTCACTCGCTCACTCAATCATTCACTAACACACTCGCTCACTCATTCACTCACACATTCGCTCACTCACTCAATCATTCACTGACACACTCACTCGCTCACTCAGTCAATCATTCACTCACACACTCGCTCACTCAATCATTCACTCACACACTCGCTCACTCAGTCAATCATTCACTCACTCGCTCACTCAATCATTCACTGACACACTCACTCGCTCTCTCAGTCAATCATTCACTCACACACTCGCTCACTCACTCGCTCACTCAATCATTCACTCGCTCACTCACTCGCTCACTCAATCATTCACTCGCTCACTCACTCGCTCACTCAATCATTCACTCACACACTTGCTCACTCAGTCAATCATTCACTCACACACTCGCTCACTCACTCGCTCACTCAATCATTCACTCGCTCACTCACTCGCTCAGTCAATCATTCACTCACACACTCACTCGCTCAGTCAATCATTCACTCACACACTCGCTCAGTCAATCATTCACTCACACACTCGCTCACTCACTCGCTCACTCACTCATTCACTGACACTCTCACTCGCTCACTCAGTCAATCATTCACTCACACACTTGCTCACTCACACTCAGACACTCAGTCACACACACTCGCACACACACATTCACTCACTGACACACTCTCACACTCTCACTCAGGAGGAGAAGTCAAGAGGGTCCATGTTTAGGTACGTTCACTTTCACACTCATTCATTCACTCACTCACACTCACTCATACCCACTCACTATCCATGTTTAGGTACGCACACTCGCACACTCACACACATTCATTCACTCACTCACTCACATGCACACGCTCACACATTTAACTCACTCATTCACTCACTATCACACACACACATTTACTCACTGACACACTCACACAGGCACACACCCGCTCATTCACTCACACACACACACTCACTCTACAACAAGTACAAGGTTTGACACAGATTGATAATTATACATGTATAACCTCGTAACTCAATGTACCAACTTCTTTCATACCCACCTGAGAACACATACTGAAAGATGTGCCAAAAGTTGAGAAAATTTGGTGTCCCTAGATAAAAAAATTCTAACAACATCAATTCCATCCTCCCCTTTCATCCCTTGAAGCTTATAAAGGGCTATCATGAAAGTTCATCTGTGTTGGTAGTTACATTTTTGAAGTTAAAACTTTTGTTCCAACACAAAATATTCTCTCACCTAGAGCTTTCAAACAGTCACTCTGGTCTTCCTCAGTAGACTGACCCAGTGAAGCTTGTCACGTGGCTTCTTTGAAGTGTGACGTCAACACTGGGTCAAAGGTACATTTGTATCTGGTAGTGGTAGATGATGTCGACCCCCGTCGCGGTTCAATGTAGGGTGATGGGCCCTGATGTACATGTATATGGCTTCCTTCACCCCTCTCAAGAAATAGTCTTGTTCAGTGTCTAAAATCCTTACAGTGTCAAGTGAAACAAAATGTCCGGGTGACTCTATGTGGATGTGTTGAGACACCTCTGAACTGGCAGAGCTAGGCCGTGTATGTTCTTGAAACCTGGCTTTCAGAGACCTCTCTGTTTCCCCAATGTACATTATAAAGGTCTGTTTACAAAACAAGTTACAGAAAGGAGACAAGGAATATGAGGTGTGTAAATCACAGTGTTGCTTAGTGTAGGAACAAAGCTTTATAGTTTCCCCCAAGAGTTTTATCACAAAGTAAGCAGCTGATCTTCAAGTTACAGAAAAAAGACGATGTGGAATATGTGATATGTGTAAATCACAGCTTTATAGTTTCCCCTGAAGAGTTTTATCACAAAGTAGTTCTTTTGATGTTAGCATTTACATGACAACAGGATGCACTTAAGGGAAAGCCTGTGTTTTACACCAATCGGAATCATTCATGTACTGTGAGCAGGGATTTTTGTAGAAAAATTTAGCATGAGGGAGTAGATCGCATTAGCATGGCAAGGGACCGAAGCAAACGAGGGGGGATTTTTTTTATGAGAGTAAAGCAGTTTGTAATGCTAAAATGCATTGTTATGTTTACCGAAGGAAAACATATTGTTTTTACTCAGTTTCTTCCTCCTCTTCTGTTCCAAACACTAACCTCTGACCTGACCAATGACATGATTTGTTGACGTCTGTCACCATGGTGACTGGTGTTGGGTTACATAATGTTGCAATTTCATGGTCTGCTCTACTCCTGTCACCATATACTAGTAGTACATGTATGTAAATGTGTTTGAGTAAAAATTAACAGGGCAGACCATGTCCGAAGGTAAACATTATGCATTTGCTTTGCAAATGTTACTTTGCAAATGTTACTTCTCTAGTTTTATAATATTTTTACATGTTTACTGGAAAAAGATCATTTTGAGAAAGACTAAATGTTGTGAATGTAGACACTTAGAGTTCAACCTGAAAATTGATATGAGGGAGCTGGCTGGTTACATGAGGGAGTAGCACCCTTATTCCTCTGTTTAGAAAAACCCCTGATGAGTATCAGGCTGTCAACTACAAACATAAGTTTACGAGCGCAGACAATAGACTGTTGTTTCAAGAGCTAAAGAAGCTGGTACTTGATTACAAACAGTTTTTGTGTGAGTTTAATAAACACAATCATAAAGGAAGATACAAAATGTACATGTAAGTATCCTACACAGGTATGATTGATTTAGATGTGTCTGCCACAACAACAGGGATACTGGTAAAATAAATCATCAATCAGTTTTGACAGTGATGTGAGAAGAGTATTAATTTTTGATTTGCAAAAAAAAGATGCTGGTTTTAAATCAACTCAAATATGCTCATATTTTGCCCCCAACAGTTGAGGAAAGTCCTTTTCTTCCTAGTTATATTTCAGTCCATACCATGGTATGGATGAAATATATTGTGTTCCCTCATGTTTCTCCTCCTCCTTCTCCTCCTCCTGCCACTCGTTCAGAGGGATTCAACTCCGCCATCATTCAGCCAAATGATCTGAAATTTGGCATGGAGGTAGAGTGGGCCAATACCCCCAGACGTTTCTTTCATTTTTTTGAAACATGCCTTTGAAAAATTTCAAGGTTTTTTTGGGGCAATTTCCGACAAAAAATGGATTTTTGGATCCTGAGCCCTGGTATTACAACCAAATGATATGACATTCGGTATAAGGGTACCTTGAACGTGTGTCTACAGAATAGCAGTCATGTATTTGGCATACACCACTTCCAAATGACTCATTTGGGGGACTTTAATGGCTATTTTCAGCAAAAAAAGGGCCAAAAGTGCTATACCCGTTCCATGTTCTATCAGTCTAAAGAATGGCCGGTTCCATCCATGGAACACGTGTTCCATTGCGGGTTACCTGAGGTCACATTGCGTAATGACCCACACATTCAATTTTATGTGCCTAAGACCTTCAAAATGTATCAAATCTCATCATTGTAGGTTTTGCATACCTGTAATAAGATTAGTAAAGCTTTCGAGATTCAAAGTACTTGTTGTTGCATCTTTGTTCTCATATAGCTACTATTAAATTCATTTATTTGAGAACCTTTGCCACTTTTGCGTGGGAGGGAGATGGACTGAAATATGCTGTATTTGCTCCCAAGCAAATGTCGGCCTTTCTAGTTGTTACAGTTTTTCCATCTATCAATGCAGTGGTGTGATTAAAAGTTCAAAATTCATTGTTTAGATATTAACCCAGCCTTAGTAGCTCCTATCGTAGCATTTGGGACTATAATGTGATGCCTAGACCTGTTTTTTTTTCTCCCTGTCGCTTCATATTTTTTTCTGAAAAAATCACAGAACCAACAAATTAAATTGGTGTGGCCTAAATAAAAAATGATTCACCATTAAACTTCCTGTGTCAGAGAGAATGTGTAAATATTGCTCCTCAAATGCAGTAGAAGATGAAATTCATTTCATCTCTAACTGTCCATTTTATGACGACATCAGAAAACAATTACTTAGCACCGTGTCCAAAATGCTCCCTTACTTCCCCACTATTCCCTACCACAAAAAAAAACAATTTTACTACTAAAATCAAAGAACCCACATATTATAGACTGAAGAAGTGGGTAAATTCGTCTTCCATTGCCTAAAAAGAAGAAGTCAAACCCAGTAAAACTAGCACATATAATCTCACATACCACTGTATTTTCTTTATATAATTTCTTATGTTGTTTGTAACTGCAATTAGCCCTCGGGCAAGTATCTGCAATAAACTTTCTATCTTCCGTCTGCAGCTTCCAGTTTTACGGCACGTCGAACACGTACAGGTCGAAGCCGGTGTGGCACAGCCCCAACGCCAAGATGAACTTCACACAGCAGTTCACCATCAACCCTGTCTCCATGGAGTTCCTACAGTACCTGCAGACACACGCACTGGTGCTGGACATGTGGGGACTACAGGGTGAGATTTTGCTGTTTTTGCACAGTTTCTTCCTCTTCTTCTTCTCCAAACAAACAAAGTCTAGACTAGACCAGATGTCTGTCACCATGGTAACTGGTGCTGGACATGTGGGGACTACAGAGTGAGATTTTGCCGAAGGAAAACATGTTGTTTTTGCACAGTTTCTTCCTCTTCTTCCTCTTCTTCTTCTCCAAACAAACAAAGTCAATGACCTGGACCAGACGTCTGTCACCATGGGAACTGGTGCTGGACATGTGGGGACTACAGGGTGAGATTTTGCTGTTTTTGCACTGTTTCTTCCTCTTCTTCTTCTCCAAACAAACAAAGTCAATGACCTGGACCAGACGTCTGTCACCATGGTAACTGGTGCTGTGGCAGACACCCAGTGGTGTTGGGTTACATTTTGTAGCAGGACAGAGCTGGAGTGGCTGATATATATTATGAATGTGTCCGAATAACAATAAACAGAGCAGTAGTTTGTCAGGCTAGACCAATTGTGAAGGTAAACATTATGCATTTGCTTTGCAATTGTTACCTTTCTAGTCTTAAATGCTTTTTCACAAACTTGTTTCTGCAGAAGGGCGAGAAGATGACCTCCCCAGTTCCCCCCAGGACGGCTCAGACAACGGCTACGGCGGCAGTCAGACAAACAAACAAACAAACAAACAAACAAAATAGTCAGTTTCTCACACACTTGTCTTCCTTTTCTTGGTTTCTACAGAAGGGCGTGAGGATGACCCCCCGAGTTCCCCCCAGGACGGCTCAGACAACGGTTACGGCAGCAGCTCCACCATCCAGGACGGGTCAAGGTCATCTTCCTTCTCCGACTCTGACCTGGAACAGGTCCTGGTGAGTCAGTATGACAAACAAACAAAAACAAATAGTCCCTGTGAGTCGTTCTGACAAAAGCTGAAACAAACAAATAAACAAACAAGGAAACAGTCCTGGTGAGTCAGCCCAACAAACAAACAAGAACAAATAGTCCCTGTGAGTCAGTATGACAAAGGCTCAAACAAACAAACAAACAGTCCTGGCGAATCAGTCTAACAAATAAACAATAATATTCTATAGCTGTGTTGGATATGCTTACAGAGAGGAGAGATATTGGATGCTTGACATCAAACCTGAAGTTTAGCATTCTATGTGTGTCCTTGCAAAGAAAGTTGTTACCATTACACAGTATAGATGTTATTGTCTCACCTTTGAAACATAGGTGAGAGGCCCCGAGGGTGGCCCACTCATATTTCCTGATAGATCACAGCAGTATATATACAGCTGGTGCAGTGTACAGCATGTGTCACACTGGGCTCGAAATTCATTTTTGGGAATAGGTGTACTGGTGCACCTAACCTAAAAAATTGGGTGCACAAAAAATTTGTTGCGTGCATCTGATATAAAACAAAACCTAATTAGAGATCTTACTACTCTTCTGAGCTTGAATCTTAAATGGGAGCTAACTTCAAAGTCTTAAACAAGCACTACTATACATGTATATACATGCATACTATTATTCATTAAATTTTGATATGTAAAAAAAATACCTACAAAAATATTTGGGGTGCACCAGTGCACCCACAGAATAAATTTGGGTGCACTAAAGCCTTAGTCACAACCCGCCGTACGTGCTTTTTGTCCGTACGTTTTTTGGGAGGCCACGTCTGCTACGTAATGTTCTGAAAACGTGGGGAAGGAGTGGCATCTACGCACGTCACTCGCACGGTTGCGCAAAGTGTAAGAGTGTCGTCTTCACGCCAAGTCTACATTGCGCAAGTGGTGATTTGTACGTGCTTACAACGTACGATCTCTGTGCGATTGCAACTTTACCGTAAGGAGGCCGTACTCACACGTGCTTCTTCCGTACGGTACGTACGGGGCACGCGTGTCGCTTGTACTCGCACGCACTTAAAGTTCTACGGCGTGTCTGCGTGCTCCCAAATCCGTAGGATTCTGTACGGAGGCGGTACTCACCACGCACGGATGCCCTACGTTTGCCCACGTTTTTGCACGTAGACAGCACGCAGAAGCACGTACGGCGGGATGTGACCGAGGCTTAAGGATGACATGCACCTGGATTTCCAGCCCTGACAGCAGTATACATCTAGTGCAGTTTGCAGCATGTGTTGTGATTTATGTTTTCATTTCGAGCTGTTCTGTGGAGGGAAAACCTGGTGATGACTAATATACCCTCAACTTCAGGTGTTCATATGTGGTGGTGAATCATCTTAGTTGAAATGTGCCAAGATTATTGGTCTCAGAACTGAGATGAAGGTATTATTAACTAAAGATTTTTTTGGATGGTATTCTTTTAAGGATAATAGAAATTAAAAAAATTAGAGTACTAAAAAAAATCAAATTTGAAAAATTTAAAAATTTCAAAGATTTAAAAAAATTTAAAGATTTTTGAATTTTTAAACTTTTAGATTTTTAGATTTTTAAATTTTTAAATTAAAAAAAATTGAAATATGTGTGTTTGTTGTAACCAGTTTGTGATGTGTATCTCTGTTGTTGCATCACATTTGAGAAGCATAGAACCTTGAGCTAGAAGAAGAAATGAATGAATAAAAGATTGAATGAATGGATGAATTGAATGAATGAACAAATGAATGAATGAAGATTTATGTGCGTGTGTGTGTCTTCTGCAGCACATGCGAGAGGCAGAGAACCTTGAGCCAGAAGAAGGAATGAATGAATAAATAAAATAACGAATGGATGGATGAATTGAATGAATGAACAAATGAATGAAGAATTATGTGCGTGTGTGTGTCTTCTGCAGCACATGCGAGAGGCAGAGAACCTTGAGCTAGAAGAAGAAATGAATGAATAAAAGATCGAATGAATGGATGAATTGAATGAATGAACTAATGAATGAATGAATTATGTGTGTGTGTGTCTTCTGCAGCACATGCGAGAGGCAAAGAACATTGTGATGAAGAAGCAGGTTCAGGAACTGGAGACTGAGCTGAGATGTTTACATGTGTGTGTGTTGTAACCTGTATGTGATGTGTATGGCTGTGTTTGTGTGACTGTGTGTTGTGTTTAAGCTGTATTTAATGTATTGCTGCAGCACATGTGAGAGGCGGAGAACATTGTGCTGAAGAAGCAGGTTCAGGAGCTGGAGGCTGAGCTGAGATGTTTACATGTGTGTGTGTTGTAACCTGTATGTGATGTGTATGGCTGTGTTTGTGCGTTGTGTTTAAGCTGTATTTAATGTATTGCTGCAGCACATGAGAGAGGCAGAGAATCTTGAGCTGAAGAAGCAGGTTCAGGACCTGGAGGCTGAGCTGGAGAAGCTGAGGCTGTCGGAGCAGGCTGCGAGGAAGGAGAAGTTCTCCCTGCTGCAGCAGCTGGAGAAACTGAAGACGGCGCAGCAGGTCCGTGGGGGAGGGGGGCGGCAGCATAACTCTTCTGCAGGTAAGGCCACACCAATTCAATTTCTTGGTTAACGGATTTTTCTAGAAAAATAATACACTGTCTCATTTTTCAAGATCTGTTGCTGAGCTTGCCTCAGAATTCTACTTGACGGCTGGAGGAAATACTCACTGATTTCACATTCATCAACCTCCAGTTTTTCCATAAGGCCACACCAATTTAATTTCTTGGTTAACGGATTTTTCTAGAAAAATAATGGAGCGGGCGGGTGAAAAAAAAAGAAAGAAAGAAAAAAACAGGCCTAGGCATCCTATTATGGCCCAAAATGGTACGATAGGAGCCAGGAAGTCAACACACCAGGCTAGTTCAAAATTTAAACAATTTTATTCAAAATTGCGACATGACAATACAAAGTGTGCACTAGGCAGCAAGTATGCTGATAGCGTGCACACCCAACACATACCTGTACATATGACGTAAAAAGCAACAACAATTAATAGTTAAAGCAAGATTATACACAAGTATACAATTTTCATATAAATTACACCTATAATTAAAATCAATTATAATTATATAACTATACAGCAAAATGAAATGTTAAGTTAGGCTCAGCTGGAAGAGGCACAGAATCTTTTTGATTGGGCAATGAATGTGTGGAGTGCATGTGTGAGTTTTGTATTTGTATCTAAGTTATGACCTGGAGAACCCTGGAGCAGAACAGATGTGGTTAGGTGATGTTGAGTAAGGTGTTCAACAGTGGAGGCAAGGGTGTTGCGTGGCTCAGTGTGGAGAGGGCAATGTAACAAGTAGTGTGGTACTGTTTCAGAGGAGGCCCCACAGGCACACGTCTTGTCTTTAAGGCTCATTTTGTGCAGGGTGCAGTTCAATTGACTCCAGCCCATGCGCAACCTTGCAGTATAGATGTTAAACTGCCTAAATTTAAACAATGAATTTTGAACTTTTAATGATACCACTGCATTGAAAGATGGAATAACTGTAACAACTAGGAAGAAGAGGACTGTTTTCAACTGTTTAGGGCAAAATATGAGCATTTTGCAGTTGCTTGCAAATCCGAAAAAAATGAAGCGGGCAAATCCGTTAACTAAGAAATCAAATTGGTGTGGCCTAAGGATGGTCTTTCTTTTATGAATATTTATTGAAGTGTTTTCAATTTTTTATCAAGTATGCCAGCTCTCACTCAGCATTAGCAGCAGGAACACTTACTGTCAATACTGAGTAAAGAGACTCTTTTTTTTACACAACCAATTCTTTTATTCAGCCGACAGGCTGTGCAAAAAACACTGTTGGGTACAGAAACTCTTCTGGGCGGCCATGAAAAAGAAAGGCCCATGATTTATTTATTTATTTCTGTATTCTTTAACCAGGGTAACACTACTCAGTGACATAGCACTGCTTTACAGAGTGGCCCTGGGTACGACACATGTATACACGGAAATACAACAAATTATACACCAAAAACAATATCATAAACGTGAGCCATTACTCGTTATCGGGGTCATGCCAGGTCGTAATAAGGGAGGGAAGTCAGAGGTCACGTAACTCAGCATACAGTGTTCTGAACGTCTGTATCGACGGTGCAGTTCTAACACCGGGTGGGAGTTTATTCCAGCCCACTGCACCTCGATAAGCAAACGTTCTCTTGCCGCATTCCAATCTAGCTTTAGGAAGTCGCAGGGACTGGTTCATACTGTGTCGGGTGGAGTAGTTGTGGGTTTCTTGGGTTCGGTTAAAGATGTCTAGGTACTCTGGCAACTGGTTGTTTATCGACTTTCGTACAGTTTGTATGATGATCTATCACTTCCCCTTGCTGGTTTTTAAGGCCTGCGGAGGAACAAAGCCCCCGCAGCCGGATATAAACCTCTGACCAGCCCCTTCCTTTCTCCTGACCATCCATCTCTGACTGTCCACGGGGCCTGATATGCCATGAAGGATGGACGACTCATCCCTGCATTCCCTTCTCCTCAGTATGTCTTAAATTTGCTACAAAACTGAACCCTGATCTCCTACCTCCTAAGGTGGGTGAACTCTCAGGAAGACACACAAGGAACTCTGAAAAGCTAAAAGCTACTAAGTACAGAACCAACAGATATAAGAACTCTCCAATACCATACCTGGTGCGCATATTGAACAATTCCTCCAAATAATGTGTATCATATTACTAGGGTGGTTAGTCTGTCCTCTAGTCTCATTTACTTTGTATATTTTTGTGTAAGTACTTAATATATGTTTGTAACTGTTAGTTTTAATGTTAAAATTGTATCTGTTATTTTTAAGTATGTCAATGTATAATGATATGGATTTTATTGAGTAAATAGTAATTTTAATGTGTTATGCCAGATATGTCAAAAATCAAAATTGTACAGCAAGACACAATTTAGCTGATGGCTACAAGGTTTTGTTTTTACAAATAAACCATTTGATTGATTGATATGAATGTTTCATGTAGTAGTAAATGGTTTATTGATAAACAAGGGACAAATCGACCTTGCAGCAATAGCTGAATTGCGCCGAAGTTGACAATCATGAAATTCAGTAAAACCAATAAAAAAGTTTATGTCCTACCTGGGCCGCGATTACGTTCGATACGGGTGTTCCGGCCCGTGTGATAACTAGCGGTACAGCCCGGGGGTTCTGAACGCGTACGGCCCGGCCCTTCCAAATGTTCCATAGACAGATTCGAACGCGTTTCGCCCTAACCGCGTGCAACGCTTCCGAAAATTCGAATGCAAAATTCGGACGTTGGAATTGATGTTGTTGCGTTTTTTGGATTAGGGACACCAAATTTTTGCTCATTTCGCATTGAAAGGCGCGTTTTCTTGGGTGGGTATGACATAAATAAAATGCAACACGGTGTATTCCGCATCACCCTCGGTCCCAGCCCTTCCGCGGATCGGATCACCCTCCGGCCTTCGGCCGTCGGGCGATCCGACGCGCGGTCGGGCTGGTACCTCGGGCGATACGGAATACACCGTGTTGTATTCTATATGTATATTATAATACTTGTATATAGTACAAAGTTCAATATTATCGACGTCATTAACAATACTACAGATATAACGTGGTGGTTGGAGATCAGCACAATTAAAAAACAGCGTTATTGGAGTCCTTACAGGAAAGGCTACTCTTGAACAGTATTAAATAACAGTTCAATTTTAAAGTCCATTGATGAGGAGTTTAGCCAACATTGGCTTCTAACTCGTGGTGTATCATAGTGATCTCTACCTACTGGCTGCTTGCAAGGAGTATAATAACGTTCTTTATTGACTTTTGTATGGTCTCCTACAAACTAACAAAGGTAAATACATGTATGAATAACATCATCCTACATACAGAATATAATTTATGTATATGTGGCAAATTCCGTACAGAATATATGTCAGTGGCAACACTAATCTCTAACATGTAGTCTCTAAGATTTAAACATTCTTTAATGTATCTCCCTATTTGAACACAGTATTGGTTATCTCCCCTCAGAATGTAATTGAATTTATCTATAGGATCTAATGTATTGAAATCTGTTGAACAAGCAGAAAGAAAAGTGAATACATTATACATGTATATGAAAGGTTTTTTCCTGCCTTATGGCAAGCCCAGTAGGCAAAATCACATAAGGCCTACATGTACTTTCTTATATTATACCCTCCAAAACCACACATGCCCATATCTATGTGCTTATAACGGTTACTGTCTTTTCAAGATAACATTTCTTGGCTGCAGGCCATAGGAGTTAGCAAGTACAACATGCTGAGGGATGTGCAAAGAGTAGTATTCAGGCAGGTAGAGCTCAGCTCCTGTTGAGCTTGAATATTTTTGTCACATCTGGGTGACTCGCATCCGCCTCACCTACTGAGTTATCTTAGTCCCAGCTGGATCCCATTTACTACTGGATTACATGGGTTTAGGACTGTCACTACTCGCTTCAAAACAGGACATGTTACTACCGGGTGCAAATTCAGCCTGACGTTTTAGCTGTGTGCTTTATGGCAATGGCAAAGACGCTTGAGGCATCGGACAACTAGTACCAGTATCACACAGGTGTCCATGATGCTCAACATCCCTCCACTCATGTGGACCACTACTCGCTTCAAAACAGGACATGTTACTACCGGGTGCAAATTCAGCATGACGTTTCAACTGTGTGTTTTATGGCGATGGCAAAGACGCTCGAGGCATCGGACAACTAGAGCCAGTATCACATACTGTGTCCATGACACTACCCATCCCTCCACTCTTGTAGTTGTAGGTCACCACTCACAAAAACAGGACATCTTACTACAGGGCTCTCAAATTGCCGAAAAGTAGTTGATGCTACATCTGACAGTTTTCCAAATCTATCCAGTTGCTTGATTAACAATTTCCATGTGTATCTCAATACCTGGATGTCTAACCTCCATCAACAAAACAGGACACGTTACTACAAGGTGCAAATTCAGCATGACGTTTCAACTGTGTGTTTTATGGAGATGCGCTAGGCATTGGAGGCATGGGACAACTAGTGCCAGTGCCTGCCTGGTGTCCGTGACACTGGCCATCCCTCCACTCTTGTGGGTCACTGCTGATTCGAAAACAGGGTCCAAATTCAGCCTCAGGCTGACGTTTCAGCTGTGTGTTTTATGACAATGCTCTAGGCCATGGAGGAATCCGGCAACTAGTACCAGTGCCACACTGGTATCCATGACACTACCCATCTCTAAACTCATGTGGGCCACTACTCACTCCAAAACAGGACATGTTACTACCAGGTGCAAATTCAGCATGACGTTTCAGCTGTGTGTTTTATGGAGATGCGCTAGGCATTGGAGGCATTGGACAACTATATAGTGCCAGTGCCTGCCTGGTGTCCGTGACACTGGCCATCCCTCCACTCTTGAGGGTCACTACTCACTCCAAAACAGGGTCCAAATTCAGCATGACGTTTCAAACTGTGTGTTTTATGGTGATGGCAAAGACGCTTGAGGCATCGGACAACTAGAGCCAGTATCACACCTGCAGGTGTCCATGACACTACCCATCCCTCCACTCTTGTAGGTCACTACTCACTCCAAAACAGGGTCCAAATTCAGCCTGACGTTTCAGCTGTGTGTTTTATGACAATGCTCTAGGCATTGGAGGCATCGGACAACTAGTGCCAGTGCCTGCCTGGTGTCCATGACACTCCACATCCCTCCACTCATGTGGGTCACTGCTGATTCGAAAACAGGATCCAAATTCAGCCTGACGTTTCAGCTGTGTGTTTTATGACGATGCTCTAGGCAATGGAGGAATCCGGCAACTAGAGCCAGTGCCACACTGGTGTCGGTGACACTGCCCATCCGACCAATCACACAGGTCAGCGCACGTGTCAGCTGATTGAGACGTGCCGGTCTGGCCCGTATTACGGCTGAAATACGACTTCCAGAAGTCAGATCCAGAGGCTGCCTGGAGCCAGTTAGTTTACGTTCCATCTGACAGCACATCCCTAAGCAAAGCTAGGTCTTCTTCTGGAAATCTTAGGTGTACAGAGGTGTGTGTACAGCCTTATTACTATCTGTGGGCAGTTTTGTAGACAGTACCTGCTGGTAGCTGATGCATGCCTTAGACTCCATGACAGCTGGCGGAAATACTCACTGATCTTACATTTACCAGTATGGTATCTTACCTTCATCAACTCATAATGTTTCCCCAAAAAAAACTTTCAGGAAACGATGTGTACTACAGTGACTGAAATATGCCTATTTTTCACAAGAGTTGTTGGTGAGCTTGCTTCAGAATTGTACATGACAGTTGACGGAAATACGCACTGATCTTACATTCATCAACATCAACTCATAATGTTTCACCCAAAACATTCAGGAAATAACATGTACTAGGTCTGAAATACACTCATTTTTCACAAGATTTGTTGGTGAGCTTGCCTCAGAATTCTACTTGACGGCTGGAGGAAATACTCACTGATCTTAGTAAACATTCATCAAACTTCAGTATTTCCATAACCTCCAGGAAATAACATGTACTAAGACTGAAATATGCCCATTTTTCACAAGATTTCTTGGTAAGCTGAAACTTAAATATCCTCAGACATGGTTCACCAGCACATGTTGGTGATAAGGCCATGTTGATTTGATTATATGGATGACATCCGCGCGCGCATGAATTTTCGGCCGTTTCCAAAAAAAAAAAGTTTTCAACCATACTGTAAATCGTACAAAACAGTTATAGATATACCATAAGTTACAAAAAAAATTAATAAAAACCATACCAATGTCGTAGAATGCCAAAATCAAACGAAAAAAGACGAAATTGTAAAGAAATGAACTTGAAGACTAGATTATTCGCCAAACCATATTCTGTGCCATTTGCTCAACCCTCATGACCACGTAGATTTCATAATGAAAAGAACTTTTTTTTTTGCAAAACTTTTTTTTTATTCGCACGCGCGCATCAGTTTTGGGGCTCCCGGAGGATGTCATCCATATAATCAAATCAACATGGCCTAATGGAGAAAGGCAAGAGAAGAACTTCAATAAGCAGCACGAGGGCCTGCATGGAGGGGGGGTGGTCATTACGAATTAAGCAAAATTTTTGCCAACGATTACGAATTATGTTAAATTCTCAGAGCTGATTGCGTACAACTATACATGTTTCAGCTAACGTACTGATTATGAATTATGAGGATTTTGGGCAGCTGCCTACAGATTATGAAGATTAAACAGCCTGATTACGCCTTACAAAAAAGGGCATGCAGGCCCTCTGAAATATGACCATTTTTCACAAGATTTCTTGGTAAGCTGAAACTTGAATATCCTCAGACATGGTACATGTATCATCAGCACATGTTGGTGATTATGGAGGAAGGCAGGAGAATAAGCAGCCAGTGTACACCTGTGTGGGAGTGACGGAAATAACATGTACTAAGAATGAAATATGCCCATTTTTCACAAGATTTGTTGGTATTAGCTGAAGCCTTGAATATCTTCAGATATGGTATCATCAGCACATGTTCTGGATTATAGAGGAAGGCAGGAGAATAAGCACTGCCAGGCTGTGTTTTATATAGCAGTACACCTGTGTGGGAGTGATGGATAGCTTCAATTACCCTGTGCCTGGGACCAGGGGGGAAGGATGCGCTAACCTGCTACAAGGGAGAGATGTACTCGCCTCTTACAGGAAGGGGCTCGGTGGAATGCATTAGAAGAAGACCTAGCTTCGCTTAGGGATGTCCTGTAAGATGGAACGTAAAGCTGGAGGTCCAGTGAGGATAGCCACACCTTGTCGGAGCACATTGAAGATCCCACCACACTTATCGAAAAGAGCAGGGGGGTCTTTCCTGGTGTGAATAGTTTAAACCTTACAGTCTAGTCTCAGGGTTGACATCTTGAAGAGGTGATAGTCACCTGTTACGTCAATCCTTCCACAAATGTCGGTCTAGAACTTTGGAACAATCTTCCAGAGGCAATAATATATGATTAGAGACAGGCAGAAGTTTATTGAATGTGAAGTAAATTCCTTCCAGTCAGTACAAAATCATTAAACTTTGAAGTGGACAGATAAAGTACAAAGTACAAAGTTAAGTAGACAGCGAATTGCGATGATGAATTTTATTCCTTTCTTCCAGGTTCCCCCAGGCCTTAAACCAGCAAGGAGTAGTAAGCTATAGATCATGGGCTTTTTTTCATGGCTGCTTAGAAGACTTTCTGTACTAAACAGTGCAGTTAAAAAACGTTTGACCAATGGGAGCTATGAATGCATTTTATTCCTTACTTCCAGGTTCCCCTAGGATGCCCCCTGCCACAGCATCACAACAGAAGACCCCCCATTAGCAAAGAACCCCCCCCTGGCAACAAAGACCCCCTCCCCAAAACAGAAAGTTGATGGATAAATGGATGGATAAAGTACAAGTAGAGAGCTGCCGAATGATGCATTTTATTCCCACCTTCCAGGTTCTCCTAAGACCCCTGCTGCAACAACATCACCATCAGCACAGAAGACCCCCTCAGCAACAACGAAGACCCCCTCCCCAGCCCCAAACCCCCCCTCCCCGGCCCAGAAGGCCCCCTCGTCTGCGTCTAAGTCCATGGACGGGGAGCTGGCCAAGGCCATTAAGGAGTTCTTCAGCGGCCTGAAGCCGGCGCTGCAGACTCTCAGGGAGCTCAAGGACACGTCGGGACAGGTGAGAGACAGCTTCAACTTTAGAACTTTAGAACTCTAGAACTTTAGAACTCTAGAAGTTAAGAGTTTTAGAGCTCTAGAACCCTAGAACTTTAGATCTCCAGAACTCTACAACTCAAGAACTCTAGAACTTAAGAACTTGAGACCTCTAGAACTTTTGAACTCTAGAACTTTAGAACTTAAGAATTTTAGAACTTTAGAACTCTAGAAATCTAGACATTTGGAACCTAAGAATTTTAGAACATTAGAACTCTAGAACTTTAGAACTCTAGAACTTTTAGAACTCTAGAACTTTTAGAACTTAAGAATTTTAGAACTTTAGAAATCTAGACCTTTAGAACTTAAGAATTTTTGAACTCTAGAACTTAAGAACTTAAGAATTTTAGAACTCTAGAACTTAAGAACTTTTAAACTCTAGAACTTTTAGAACTCTAGAACTTTTAGAACTTAAAAATTTTAGAACTTTAGAAATCTAGACCTTTAGAATTTAAGAATTTTAGAACTCTAGAACTTTAAAACAGGAACATGAGAGTGAATAGTGTGTTGTAGTTTACAATATGTACATCAGCTGTCTAAAAGCATTGATCTCTTTAACATCAATTTGACAGATTGACAGTTATCATGTGATAGTTCATCTTTAAAATGTTGTACTCATAATATCCAACGGTGATATAAATATAGCTTAAAGAAAAAGAGAGTAAGACAAGTTAACAAAAATACTCAAATGTTTAATACTCAAATGTTTTAATAATATAACATGTTGGTTTTATCTTGAAAGTTCATCTGTGTTGGTAGAAGTCATTATGCAGCAAGATTTGGGTGAGTCCAATTCTTGTGTTGGAAATTACAGTTTAATCTTGCTGCATAAAGATGTTGGTTTGTTGGTTTACAAGATGTTTATAAGACATGAGTTTCTAAGATGATGCTCTGTGTCCCCAGACGAGCGCAGGTGACCTGCGGGTTGCCATGGCAACGAACGCCCAGCTGGTGCAGAAACTGGATGAGGACCTGTCCTCCAGCCTCACCAGCCTCAAGGCCAACGTCGTCGCCGCCGTCAAGAGGAAAAAGGAAGGTGCCGAGCAGCAGTCATGACACAGGAGGGACTGCAACTCTGAAGTGTAACTAGTGTTTTATAGTGTTATAACGGAAATGAAGAGAAACCTACAGTGGGGGTCACTGGAAGACAGACGTAGAATGTCCAGACTGTGCATGATGTACAAAATGACAAATAAACTGGTGGATGTACCAACCACTAAGTATACTGATACCAGTCCAGAAAAGAACAAGAAACAGTCATGCCTTCAAATATCAGAGTTATCAACCAAGAATTGAGGTGTTCAAAAACTTGTACTTCCCCAGAACTATCGTAGACTGGAACTCGTTGCCACCAAGCACAGTTGGGGCATCAGCACTAGAAAGCTTTAAACAACTCCTGCAATCAAATGTGCAAAGATTGAGTGTAGCAAGCCGTTCGGTGTGATATTGACCCATTTTTATGATTCAAAATAATATTTAATATAATATTCTTTTATAATGTAAAATGATAGTTGATTTGGGACATAATTGTGACATAAATTTGATTATGTTTACTGAAGGAAAACATATTGTTTTTGCTCTTCTTCTCCGAACAAATAAGGTCAATGACCTGAACCAGACGTCTGTCACCATGGTACTGAAGGAAAACATATTGTTTTTGCTCTGTTTCCTCTTCTTCTCCAAACAAATAAGGTCAGTGACCTGAACCAGAGGTCTGTCACCATGGTAACTGGTGTTGGGTTACATCATGTTGCAGTTTTATAGCAGGAGGGATTTGGACTCCTGTCACCATATATATGAATGTGTAAGAATTAACAGAGCACACCGTATAACTAGAAAGGTTAACTTACATTTGCAAAGCAAATGCATAATGTTTACCTTCGCATATGGTCTGCTCTGTTAATTCTTACTCGAACACATTTACAAATATGCTGACAGAAGTCCAAATCCCTCCTGCTATAAAATTGCAACATGATGTAACCCTACACGTTCTCAGCAGTTGTTTTTGCTATTTTCTCTCCCAAAGGAAATTGGTTGGGTACAAAATGCAAATCAATTGCAATTTACTGGGATGCCGTTGAGATATTACTGAGACAATGACGTTACTACTGTTTTGTCATTGTGCTTTCATGGGCAATAGAAATGAAATATTTCACTGTTAAATCTTGCACATGTCCCTTTATGGACACACAAGTTCAACATTTCAAACACCAAAAAGCTGCTGTGCAGTGATACAATTAATTCTGCAACTGAAAACATCAAAGGAAACTGTTGAAAACAGTTGTTAAATTGTGCAAGGATGTGGTTTCAGGGCAGAAAAACAGTGAACATAACAGTACAGTGAAAAAATCAGGATATACAGTATCAGAAAATATAAGATGTAGGGGAAATAGAAGGTACAACTATGGTAACGTTATGGTTACATGTATTCGAAAGTACTCTCCAAGCAGAAGTTTTGGTTTCGGTTTATTTTTAAAACTTTTAAAGGCATTTTTATCAGGCTTTGTTTTTTGTATGCACTGGTATTTTTTTGTTAATAATGCTAGCCAAAATGGTAACTACTTGGCCAATTTGATATTGTCCTTGCAGCCATCAAAAGATCTAATTGGAGATTAATTTGAAAGAATTTCACATTTTAATGTGAAAATGGCACAAAAGGCATTGGTGTGCACAAACGCCAGCTTAATTATGTTTACCAATTTGAAAGGAAAACATATTGTTTTTGCCACATTTCCTCATCTTCTTCCATTCCAAACACTGACCTGGCCAATGACCTGATTTGTTGACGTCTGTCACCATGGTAACTGATGTTGGGTTACATGGGTTACATGATGTTGCAATTTTATCAGTAGGAGGGCTTTATACTCCTGTCTGACCATATATAATTATGAATGTATTTGAGTAAGAATTAACAAAGCAGACCATATGCGAAGGTAAACATTATGCATTTGCTTTGCAAAATTAATGTTTCCAGTTCAAAAAGTTTTTACTACCAGCTTATTGCAGTGGCTACCGTTTGTATGCACAAGATGTCCTGTTAAGGCCACACCAATTTAATTTCTTGGTTAATGGATTTTTCTAAAAAAATAATGGAGCAGGCGGGCGAAAAAAATAAAAATAAAAACAGGCCTAAATAAGGCATCCTATAAGGCCACACCAATTTAATTTCTTGGTTAACGGATTTTTTTAGAAAAATAATGGAGCGGGCGGGCGAAAAAAAATAAAATAAAAACAGGCCTAGGCATCCTATAATGGCCCAAAATGGTACGATAGGAGCCATGAAGTCAACACACCAGGCTGGTTCAAAATTTAAACAATGAATTTTGAACTTTTAATGATACCATTGCATTTGAAGATGTAATAGCTGTAACAAGTAGGATGAAAAGGACTGTTTTCAACTGTTCAGGGCAAATATGAGCAATTTGCAGTTGATTCTGAATTTTTATTTTTATTTGCAAATCAGAAAAAAATGAAGCGGCCGAATGCATTAACCAAGAAATCAAATTGGTGTGGCCTTAAGTTTAGTTTGCACAGTGTACAGTATTGTGAGGACCTAATGTCAATGGAGATGTAAATAATTGTAAAAATCTTGTCAGAGTAATATATATGTACATACGAATATTTAATTATCAATTATGTACAATTTTCATGCAATATTTTCACGAAAAGAGCGTATTACATAATTATGTGTGGGCTCAAACATGACAACTTACCACTCAGAATCCTAAATTTCTGCTCTGCAGTCTTTTTTGTGATCGGCAGAATTTTAGATCTGATGTTTTACTGACAATTCTGGTTGGTTGGAATTCTAAGAAGCTCAGGACATTATGTGTGATATTAGATGACATTGCAATTCTGACTGGATCAAGTATTGAGTTTGATAGTGTACTATTAGTTACTCAAGCAGTTGGATATGATTTTGGAAGCGGTCAGACGTTTCAGCTAGTATCCACTACCTTTCGTCAGTGACTGAGAGACCAGAGGAGAAATGCAGGTTTATAACTAGCTGAAACGTCTGACCGTTTCCAAAATCATATCCATTTGCTCGAGTAACTGCTTTTTTGGTGTATCGTATTACCTGGATGTCTAACCTTCATTGATGTGCTAGTATTATATCACACAAAACATCACAGAAATTACTTTGAGAACAAACTGAATCATTGTTTGGATTCTTTGCAACAGACCTTGTTGGAATGCTTCATTGTAACTAGACATTGCAATTCTGACTGGATCAAGTATCAAGTGTGATAGTGTAGTCTAGTATTTTGTCACACAGAGCATCACAGAAATTACTTTGAGAACGAACTGAATCATTGTTTGGATTCCTTGCAACAGACCTTGTTGGAATGCTTCATTGTTACCATCATTCCCAGTTCCAGTTTGTGTTTTTTTTTTTTATATAATCATGAAGTTTCATCAACAAGTGTCACACGCTTCCTGTGAATTAATGGACGAAGCTCATTAAAAATGAACATGAACATGCACGATTGTCAGTGTATTTACATGTGTCTGTAGCCGGTATGTTGTTGTGCATGTATTGTTAATTGTCTCTTTGTTCATTGCTGAGTACATTCAATACTTAAGACTGGTCTAGTCTTTAATATACACTGGATAGGAAACTCATACAATAAGCAGCAAAGGCGGAAAGATTCAGTGAAGTCTACAAAATTCACCAAATCCAGAAAACCAACTGCACACACTAACCATCAGTTCAGTTCAGTTTTTTATTCGCACTTTAAAACAAAATACAGACACAAGAAAATATAAATGAAATGTGACAGTGCAGGGAGGCCGGAAGCATAAAATGCTTATGAGGAGGCCTCCCTTCATAACTTAATTAACAATTCAAATTAATCGGATAAATAAGAAATAACTTACTAGGTAACGGGTAAATGAAACAAAACAATAAAATACAATACGATACAATACTATCTACAATAATGAAAAGTAGTAATGAAAAGTAGTAAACAAGGAAACTTAAACAAAAATTAAGAATGTGTGGGGTTATTTATGAAAGTTGCTTTAGTATGATTTTTGAAAATGGTGACGGAGGGACTAATTTGTAAAGTTCTACTTAGGTTGTTCCAAATTGTTGGGCCTCTGTACGTGATTGTAAATTGACCACCAACACCGGTCATGAACACAAGAAGATGCAATGATATATTCCAACCTCTCAACTCAGAACTCCAATAGCTGATCTAAAAGTGCTTTACATACGATGACTTACATATAAGTCATTAATATGTATTTAACTTTTCTTTTCAAGTTCATTGTGGTAAATGCTGGAATAGAAGCTAATAGTTATTACATATACATGTATTAATATAGCAAAGCCTACAGTCCCCATTATGTGAGCAATCGCTGCACTCGCAACAACATAACATCTGATCTCCCTTCCGACCGATACACAGAGGTCATCCTCTCGCAACACATCCATCACTGGCTATCGGCAGCGAAGAGGCTTCGGGAAAAGGCTCATCCCGAGATCATTATACAAGTCCCGCTGTCACAGATCTGTGCTAACTGTGCCCTAGCCTCTACCGGGCTTCAGGAGGCGGCTGGAAAGAGTAGAAATGGGCCGAATAGAGTGATAACATGCCGGGGGTGTTGGTCCGCTAGAGAGTACAGTTTGCCACTCCTGAGCGGAGCTCCTTCCAGTCGCCTTCCGAAGCCTGGTAGAGGCTACCCGTGCCCCAGTCTTGAGCCAAATCCTTGAGCTGCCACATACATGAGAGGCCAGGTGTTTAGGGCTAGGGTTAGGGTTTGGGTTGGTAATTAGAGTTAGGGCTAGGGTTGGTATTAGGGTTAGGGTTAGAGTTGGATCATTGTTCAGGGCTAGGGTTAGACCTACGATTGGGTTTAGCTTAGGTTTAGTGTCCCACATCACGACCAAACCCCTCCCACCCCGGCCTTGTCTCAGGTATATTGGAAACCCCCAAGTAGTGTCGGAGTCATGTATTTGGCAGGATCATGTACATGTATATGGCTTGACGCCGCATCCGTTGGCAAATATGATCATTATGGAGTTGCTTTTTGCAAATCAGAAAAAAAAATGAAGTGGGCGAATGCCTCCAGTGTCTTTGCCATCCACATAAAACACACAGTTGAAACGTCATGTCAAATTTGAGCCTTGTAGTTACTCTCCAAGCAGAGGTTTGGGTTTTGGGGGTATTTTTAGTGTGTTGTTAGGGTTTTTTT